TGGCAGTGGCTGGCTGGGCCTGGCTCTCGCGTGGCAGACTGTGGTCCTCAGCCTGCAGGGCCGCTTTCTCCCTTTCCCTTTCTCTCTGCCTCTCTCTGATCAAATTTAAAAAGCAAATATTAATAACAAATAAGATTAAATAAATAATTCTAAAACAAAAAGAAAAAAGAAAAACACACTGGACGCATGTGTGTGTATGCCCAAAATCCTGATTTTTGTTTCTTGGTTTTTTTTGAGAGGCTTTTGCTTTAGGGTGTGGGGAGAGAAACACAGATACAGTGAGAGGGCCCTGGGTCCTGGGTGACGGAGGCTCGCGGTAGGAGGACTGGGATATGATGAAACCCTGTCAGGGATGCTCCCCCCCCCCCCCCCCCCCCCGCCCCCCCCCCGCCACACACACACAAACACACACATGCCAGCATGATTTTTAGGCTACCAGGTTCGGGATTCGAACTGCAGTTGGCCATGTGGAAATCCAGCAATGTAACCACTACCACCATCTCTGCCCAAAATCCCGAGAAGAAAATGAAGAAGGGATTGTGGTGTGGCCATCCGTCCGGGAGGTGAGTTCTCACTCACTCTGTCTCTCTCTGGCAAGCTCATGCACATCGTGGCAAAAAAAAAAAAATTAATTAAAAGAAAAGAAAAAAGAAAGAAAACAGATTTAAAGCCCTAGGACCAAGAGAGCTGTCTCAGTTCTCAGAACTTCTTCCTGGTGAGCAGGAAGGTCTTTGAGTTCTGCGCCAGGATCCTCCTGGAAGCGACAGTCTTCACTCACTCCTCCGCTGAAGAAAGCAAGATGGCGCTCTGCCTGGAGGCCGGAGGCAAGGGGGAGCAGCAGTCGAGCCACCGAACACAGCAGTAGGGTTCAGAAGGAGATGGACGCAGCAAGCCAGGGAGGAGACTGAAAGCAGAAGAGAGACGCAAGAAACTTCCCCGGCCATTTCTCCAGAGGTCCGAACGGAGCTCCCAAATCCCAAATTTGGGGTAAGATCTTTTGTCAACCATGCACAGGTGTCTGCCCTGCTTGGGGAGGAGGACAAGGAGGCGCTGCGTTATTTGACCAGAGTTGAGGTGACAGAATTTGAAGATATTTAATAAGTTACAGAATAGGTTTTCACTTTGACGAAAATCCTTACTTTGAAAATAAAGTGCTCTCCGAAAAATTTCACCTAAATGAAAGTGGCGATCCACCTTCAAGGTCCACCGAAACCAAATGGCAATCTGGAAAGCATTTGACGCGTTCAAGTCAAACACAGAATAAAGCCAGCAGGAGGCAGCAGGCGGAGGCAGAGCGAGCTGGGTTTGCTGACCATCCTGACAGCACTCATGAGTTAGGGGTCTGAAAGGTGACACCGCGCCAAGTCCGTTCCAGTACTGCTCGGTCTGATAGGGCTGATGAAGGCGAGGAAGGAGAAGATGGGGATGAGGAAGAGGAAGGAGAGAAGGAAAGAAGAAGGGAGGAGGAGGAGGCGGGCAGGATTGAAAGTGCTGATGAAGAGAAGGAGGCTGACGGTGGAGATGAAGATGATGGTGAAGGGGAGGGAGGAGGAGGTGACTGAAAGGACACTGATCGATTTCAATCCTCCTTTCAAAAAAAAATTTCTGTCGTCCCCAGGAGAAAATGGCAGTCTTTTTTTCCTTTTCCCCTTTCTTGCGCTTAGTTGGCCTGTCCTTGAGGTCTCTTTTCTCTGCATCATGGTTCTCAACTTATTTTAGGGGTAAAAACCTTGAGGAGAATACAATGGGAAAGGGACCAGCAGTTAGCGTAATGGCTATGTTGCTGGACTCCCACGTAGTCGACCGCGGTTCGCTGGACCCAGTGGCTTAAACTCATGCCGGGCGCGTGTGCGTGCCCAAGATCCCGAGAGGAGAATGGAGGAGAAGGGATTGTGGCGTGGCCATCCCCCCTGGGGGGAGATTTCTTGCTTTCTGTCTCTCTGTCTCTGTCTGGCGAGCGCATGAACCCTGTAGTTAAAAAAAACCCAAAAAACCAAAAAAAAACCCTCTCCAAAAAAAAAAAAATAAAAAGAATACAACGGGGAAAGAATCTACCCTTTTCTGTTCCAGATTTATTCTTATCCCTTCCTATCTCAACAAAAACTGTTTGGACTCAACACCGCCGTGCTCCGTGGGGAAGAAAGAAAAGCCTTCTGCTCCCTCCGCTCTGCTGGAAGCTGGAGGGTGCGAGGCCTGTGGAGTGCGTGGAATTCTAGCTTCCCCTCCTTTCTCTGTATTTTGGGCTCAGAGATGACACTGGGTCTCTATGTGAACATGGACAGTTAGCATTTACCAACACGTATCTGTCTACTTTCTCTTGTTTAAAAAAAGAAAACAAAAACTTTAAAAAGGGGGTTATAGAAGGCCAGCAGAGGGTGGGTCTGAGATGTCTGGGTGGGTCAAGTGGGCATTTTGACGACATGGCTTCTCCCTTGGCACGTTTAATTGTGATGTTCAACTGACAGCCTTGCATTTTAAGGTGACTTTTTTTTTTTACTGTCCACAGTGTTTATTTATCAAGAGAAACTATTCTTTAGCCCATGGATTCATGTTTCAGGAACACGGCACCAATCCAGTGACATTCTTTACATTCCAAAATCACTTTGTACTCCGAAAGACACCAGCCTTCCTCATCTCTTCGAAATCTTTCATGGAATCATCATTTCTGTAGAAATCTGCATATGCTTTCTTTCTTGGCTCAGCCACAGCAAACTTAGAGAAAGCTGCAACACTCAGGGATACAATGAATCCCCCAACAATACGAAATCGCAGACGCTTGGCCAGAAGGCCACGCAGCTGAGGTTTCGCCAAAGCTCTGGAAGCCATGGCAGTTACCCTGCCTCGACAGCAACGTCCTTCCCGGCTGAAGCTTAAGATGACTTTTTTAAAAATAAAATTCTCTAATGATGACTTGAGCCCTGCCACTCAATGGGAGAATCAGCAGGACTTCTTTGGAATTGACATTCTCTACTGTAATTTTGTTCCTGTTTATTTTTTTGAGAGAGATTTTTGCTACAGGGCATGTACACTTGGCAGAGAGACAGAGACAGACAGACGGACAGACAGAGACAGAGAGACAGACAGTGAGAAATCACCCCCAGGGGGATGGCCACGCCACAATCCCTTCTCCATTCTATTGGGATTTGGGGCATGCACACACACACACCCAGCATGAGTTTTAAACCGCCAGGTCTGGGACTTGAACCATTATGTGAGTCCAGTGACATAACCATCATGCCATGTGCTGGACCCATTCCTGTTTATTTTTAAATTTTCTTTTTGTTTCACTGGAAAGGAAAGACGATGCTTAGCTTTAAACATTGAACGTGTACAAGTTGCTTTGTTATAATCAAACTAAATGTGTACACAAAGGATTTGATGCTCTACTCAGAAGATAGGCTTACTGTGACCTTCCAAGTCTGACTTGTCTAGATCACCTCACTGTCAAACTGTCACCCGAACTTCGTTATTTTTGATACGCACTTTGCAGGATGGCTTCTCAGGGCTGTGTGGACTGAGTAAAGGGATTTACATCAGTGTATTAATGCCCCCACAGCGGGGAAACGTGGGTACAATTTGCTGTTGATTTATCAGTATTATCATTGGAGGTGCAAGAGTGCTCAAAACTCAGTTCTGAATATCTCGCGTTTTTATCTCAAACTGGCAGTTTTTCAATGGCTCTTTGTGCCTGTGACCACCATCGGACAAACTGGTGCTCTACTGCCAAGGTCCACATGGGACAGTCGCTGGCACGTCTTCACTGGCACTTAAAGTGTGGCCAAGAAGACGGGCTCTTGGAGTAAGAAGTCAGGTTTGGAAGTTACGAATACTTTTTTTGGTCCCTGAGTCCCCGTTTTCTAGCGTAAAGCTCCCAAACATGACTGACTGTGAATCTCGGTGGGATGACGAGCTCTGCTCAGTGCCTCTGTGCAGAGGGGCTCCCAATGCACAAGCTTTTGAATGATATACGCTATAGTGGGAATGCCACCTTTTCAGAGGTGAACTAACGAGCAGCCTGGTCCAATTCAAAGCTTTTTGATGTATAGACTTTTATAAATGGGACTATTCCATCAATGGGCAAAGTGTAACAAAATCCTGTCTAGATACACAGTATGTAATTTCTGCCCAGGTCTCTGTTTAGTAAATACGTCATTGGTTGCCGGTCAGGAATCTTGCTCCAATAAAAGAACATAAAGACTGGGAACCAGCAGTTAGCGTAATGGCTATGTCGCTGGACTCCCACGTAGTCGACCGTGGTTCGTGTCCCGGACCCGGTGGCTTAAAACTCACGCCGGGCACGTGTGCGTGCGTGCCCAAGATCCCGAGAGGAGAATGAAGGAGAAGGGATTGCGGCGTGACCATCCCCCCTGGGGGGTGATTTCTCGCTTTCTGTCTCTATGTCTCTCTCT